TCGCCGCGAGGCCGCCGGCGCCTTCTCGCGACGTCTCCGTGCCCTCGGCATGGCTGCGGCGCCTAGAGGACGGCGCGAGGAAAGGCGGCGAAGGGCCGGGTGGCTGGGATGGCTTCGATTTCTTTGGGGATGTGTTGGTTTTGAGGGGAACGTTTTCAGAGTGGTTTTGAGGAAAGCCATTAGGAGAGCTACTATTTTGAGGTTTCCTATTTGGACACACACACCCTACTTCAAAGATGAACTCGTTGTGTGGGGGGTCTCTTCGTTTGAGCCTGCTCGTGGAAAGTTGGCGGTCAGGCCCTTCGAAGGTCCACAGGGTTGCACCGAACTGTTGGGGTCCCTTATGTTTGAAAACCGTAGGAGCAGGCTTGGTGGTCAAATTCGGCTTGACTCCTGGTATCTCTGGGTTGACCAAATATGGGCCACAATCGAACATTGTGTTTTTGTTGGTTGCGGGCAAACGCTGAGGTAGTTGTGGGAAGGCCATAAGTGTATATAGTTGTAAGCAACATTTGGGCCAATCCACTCAGTTAATTCAACAACAACATGCCTGAAAGGTCCTGACACAGAGGCCAGAAGGCCTGTGAATAGCAGTTTGAGCAAATGTGAGGGGGTTGGCCCAAACCCAGGCCAGGTTCCTTGCTCAAACGACTTGGAAGGACCTGCTCCACAGAAATTAGTAAGGTCTGGCGTGCGATGTATAGGCGATACTTGTTATTCCCAGAAGAAGCCAAGAAGGGATTAGATGGTTGTGGTTACAAACAGAGGCAAGCACGCAAGCAAACAAGGCAACAAACCAACCGATGAAGTTGCGTGGAGTTGAGGCTTTGGCCACAGTTGGGGGAGCACATCATCCTAGACCATGAGTCAAACCGCACAAGTGGGTCAGGCCCGCAAGTCAGCGTTAAAGCTTTGAGCATATGGCATAGGGTGTTGCGAAGTCACGGTTCTGGTGTGAAACCTCGCACTTTGCAAGTGTTGCTCAAGATCAAGTGGTCCGCTACATGGCTAGTAAGTTTGAAGCTGTTGCAATGTCAGGCAATCAGAGTGAGTCGCAAGCAGATTCCTTTGCCCGCGTGGGTTATGTTTTTTGTCTTGCGGGTGGGTGGGTGGGGGGGGTGCCGGGGGTCAACATGTAACCAAGCTCTCGCAAGTCCCACAAGGGATCCAGGCTACTCACCAAGAGGTCAGAACTAGGAGTTGGATCAGGCACCCTGCTCCTACAATTCGTTTACCAGGACCAAATTATGCACTCGGGCCGATCGGAGCTTTGGAACAGTCCTGTTCGGTTTTTCATTCGGTGCCGAGTAGCCCACCAGCCATGTAGCTTGCAGTTGGGTGAAGTAGATAGCACGATTCCCCCATTTGCATTTAGCCATCCCCTTTACCTGCCCGCATAAAGCCGCCGACTTTCATCCTTGTGTAGGTTTTCCAGGCTTTGGCAACCATGAGCAGGTGGTTTGGTACTGATTGAATCGCGAGAAGCCGATTAGTCTTTTGGCCGTAAGGCCAACTCCAAAGCCTCTGAAACTTGAATGCCTAAAAGCCATTAAAAGCCAGGATTTAACAAACGGTTCACGAATCGTTTTGGGTGGCCCATTTAAGAATGAATCCAGGTCACACCCCCAGAGCTAATCTGCCAGGTTGAGTAAAAAATGGGGCTGAACTTAGACGATGCTTGTTCAAATTGATTTGAGGCTGCCAAGTCTAGTCTAGTTCCCTCTGAGTTTCCCTTTGAACACGACCAAAAGGGAGCTTTACAAAAAGCGGCCCCTCCAAAAAACTCGTACTCCAGAGCAAGACTCCAAACAAACTCCGAAAAATGTCCAGGCAAACCTTCCTCAAACAAAGCTCCCCCAAGGCCGAGGGTGTTCCCCGTTTCCTCCAAATGCCGAAATCGGATGCTCCTTTCGAAGGCTCCGCGGATCCAAGGCGCGGTTCCATAGGGGGTTCTCCGAAATGGGATTTGGTTTTCAGAGTAGATGTTCCTAGGTTTTCATTTTGATCCTTTAAACCAGGGTCAAAATGTTACTCTCCAAGAAAACACTCATTTCCACCACCTGGTTTGGTCAAAATGAGGTTAAACCGACTCCGCAAGAAGGGTAGCCTCAAGCCTCCCATGGTGTGAGAATACCGTGGATGCAGAAAATCCACGGCAGGCGCCAGTGACTATAGGGTTCCATCCGTCCCAACCGGTGCGAAGTTGATTTTGTCCAGCTACAGGGTTTTCGTGGCACGTTCTATGATAAAGGACCCCCGGCCGAGTATATTATCACAGAAAGGGACGCTTGGGGTGCCCCCGCCTTGAAAATGTGCCAGCTTCAGGGGTAGCCTGGATGGTAGATCTCATTGAATTTCTGTATGGGAACCACCATGGCCAGATTTGACTTGGTGGCTCACATTGGCACCCGCCTCTCATGCGGAGTGCCCTCCTTTTGAAAGGTGCATGGCAGCCCTGGGCTTTCAAGAGGAGTTGCAGCCGGGGATTGAGGAAGGATCTTCAAATGGCCGTAGCCTCGGAAGTGAGAGTGTCTTCCCAGGCCGGTGGTATGAAACACCGTCGCGCAAAGTGGTTGGCTTCCTTGTGTTTCGATGTTGATTTGGCGTATAAAGCGAATCAACAAGTCCCAGCCACAAAAACCGCAGGTGATTCCACCAGAAAGAGGAGACAAGTGCTAACCGTGCTACCTCACAAAGGCGAGCCCATACCCCTGAGAGATACTGCAGGGCTCGGGTTGAGGGAACACCATCATGACGGCCACTGCCAGGCGCTTACGCTCCGTCTCCTCGGCTCCTGTCCGTGCGGACGTGCAGGTGGGGAGTTGGGAGTGGCTTCCACCAATGTCTTCAAAAACCGTCCTTCGGTGGCTCAAGAAAGCTTGCTTCCTCTTCGGTCTGGCTGTAATCGCCAGATTCGGCGGGTGGCGCAATTTTCGGGCGCGACCGCTCTGCTGAAGGGCAATATAGGGCCGAGGCGGAGTGTCTCGAGTCGAGGTTGGCTTTTCGTCAAGGGCTAATGTCACGTATCCGGAAGAGTGTACACCTGGGTACACCAGCTGAACAGCCATACCTTTTTACACATCAACTTGAATTTTGGCTTCATATGCTATATGAGGTTATCTCAAAACAGGGGCACCCCCAAAATGCGGCCCGTCTTCTAATTAAGCCACTCCCAAACGTATCGAGAGTCCAAAAACGGCGGCCTCACCGACCCAGAATTTGCAATCACGCCCATGCTTACTCAAATGAAATCCTGGGAACTCATGATACTTCTCTCAAAAGATTACGTAGCCACATCATGGGCACATGTAGCTTGGATCATTCAGAATGCACCCAGGTGATTTGATGGTCCCCTGACCATTTCTTGGCCATTTGGCTGGGCAGGTCACCGCCGAGTGGCCGGCGAAGCTGCGCTTCCCAGGCTTCGTGGGCCAGGCAGACCCCGGGAGACGCTTTTTGAGCCGTGGTCTGGGTGAAGGACTTGACTGCTGGGTCTGATCTTCGACTTTGAACTTCTTTTGGGGGGAATCATCTGTGTGCTTTTTCACACTTGCTTGGGGAAATAATTTGCATTTTTCCACTCCTGGCACCTCAACCCGTGACCCTAGCAACGCATGTGAGCCACAAGAAAAACCTTGTTGTTCCCCAAGTAGGCATGGGACAATTGGGGAATGTTGACTGAGAGTTTTGCGCAAGCCAAGAGCATCTGCTTTTGGGCGGGGCTTTCAGGCTTTCTCGGCATCATTACAGCAGGAGTTTTCCAGTTGAACTCGCAACCATGTTTGGTTGTGGCAAAGTGGCCGATGCCATGAATGCCCCTTGGGATGGTTTGAGGGTATCCTTCTCTGGTTTGAAGGGGAAGCTGGGACTTCTGTGAGGGTTCCCCTTTTTCAATTCACGTCGAACCAAACGGGGTATATATATATATATTGGATATTTAAAAAGGTATACATTTGGGGCACCTGCCCCTCTTGGTTCCAAATAAGTTCTTCAGGCTTCCCCTTCGGCGCAATGTTGCAGCAAATTTGGGGCAGGTTTGGGCTGTAGGCCCCTGTGCAAGGGTCGAGAATTGGAAAACGGCTTCCATTTGCTTAAGAATATGTGTCATTTTCCTCTATCCAGTCTGGGGATTTTCCTTGTGGCTCACATATAATTACGCAATGCAGAGCTGGTCATTGGTTAGATGATGCCTATGCATGAGATTCATCGTTGAGAGTCATGCTGTAAGGTCGGCCGGAACTCTTTTGGTATTGTGGGAGGATGGGTGACAACGTCTTTTGGGCTTGCATTCATGTGGATGTTCAACAAAAGTCTATCCTTTTGAAGAATTGGAGACCCTTTTTGGGTTCTTCCGTTGAGAGTTTTGTGCCTTCCTTCTCATGTCCTTTATTGCCGGGTTGCACAAAGTCCCAAACTGCCTTCGGTTAGAGGAATACCTTTAAGAGGCTTGGAAGCGTCGACCATGTCTCTGCCCTGCCTCTCCGCGCGATCAGCTTGCATTCCTGAGCCTTTTCAAAGCATGGCTTCGCACCGATTTGCGAAACGATGTCTAGCAATTGCGCACCAAAATCAGCCGCAGACAGTTTCAGACTGGACGGCGGCAAAGAAGCACTGCCAAAAATCAAGCCCACTCATGTCAACCTCCCAGAGGCAAGGTCGCGCAGAGCTTCAATTCTGTCGCTGCGTCCCAGCCCACTTGGTTTTCCTGAAAAACCTTGGCAAGCAGTCTTGAAGCACCGTGCGGTGTTTGTTTGAGCCTTTGGGGCACAAAACCAGATACGACCACCACTTTCAACCACCAACAACCACTTTCAACCACCAGCAACCACTTTCAACCACCAACAACCACTTTCAACCATCAGCAACCACTTTCAACCACCAACAACCACTCAAACCACAAACCATTCAGACAACCACTTCAACCACCACACCAAACCCCTGGGCTGTGTTTCCCTCCACGAAGCCGTGAGCCTCCGCTCCGCTCCTTTCACCCTCGGGCCATGCGTCGAATCTCATGCCTGGCGCTGGCGTGCCGCTCGATTGGGACGGAGCGTGGCGCGCCGGACGGCGCTCGAAGAACACCTGGCGAACCTTTGGCTGTGCCGTTTTGTTGGAGGATACCCTCCTCTTTTGTGGGGTTTAACCGGGGAAGCCAAAAGGAACACCGAATCAAATTTGGGGAAGACACACCCTGTGACTTGTGACTTTGTGTGGCTACACTGGTTTCTTGACTCACTCCCTGAGTTCCTGAACTGTATACGTTGTGGGGAAGACCATGTTGCCTTCAGACAACAAGTTTGGACTTTTGTGGCTGATCTACTCAGTGAGTTGAGTGTAGAAAAGGTCCAACAAGTTGTGCGACTTTTCCATGCTGGTCACCCAATCAATTGAGCCGGGGCCGTTCTAAGTGATTGTGCAGACATCTCAACAGCTCAGAGAGTCCCTCCTGAGGTGCCCTTTATTGCCATAGGGGCCCAAGGGTCCTGATGCTTTCCTGTTAAGCAACTGGCAGTTCTTCGTTGCAATTTGAAGGGTATTTTGCTGAAATCAACTGGCCATCTTGGACCTTTTGCCAGCCTCCGAGTCCTTCAAAAGCATTGGGCCAAGAAACGGTATTCCAGCTGGCAACTATGATAGTCAATGATAGTGTTTCTCTGCCAAGATGGAGTTTACTCAAACCACTTACAGCTTCTAGTTTTCGCAGGCACCCAGTGGCACCTTTGTCCCATTTACTACAGATGGGTGTCCCGTTCAACGTTCCTTTTTAAGCTTTGGATGAGCTCTACTTTGGTTTTGTCGGTGTGTCCCTTCTTTCCTTTGTTTTTTGTTGGCACGGGATGTCAAGTTACCCTTAATTGTAGAGGGTAGATGGGAAACCCCTCCTTAACCACCAAACCACCAATCCAAACCACCAAATGGAAGGAAGCTGAGGGCTGAGGATGTGTTTGTCCTTTCTGTTCGATTTGCTCGTTGCCAACTACGTATTGGCCTCCACTCCAAGGCCTTGCTTCCGGCCAAGGCGAGCGGGAGTTATGCTCGTGAGCGGATGTGTGTAGGAGCGATACAGAGTTGACGTGCTGCTTTGGTTTTGGTGTTGCTTGGTTCTGTTCAGTTTCGGTGGGTGGCTTGCAAAACACATGTGGGGGAGTTGGACAGAATGTTGGCTCTGTGTGTGTTGGTTAACTTGATGTTCCGTGTCCGCAAAGGGCAGAAAGACAACGAGCGCACCTGGGAGTGGGAAGGACTATTTTTGCAGAAGGGGACGCCCTGGGAGTGCACTTTTTTTGTGCACATGTCAAGCTTCGACATAGATGGGGGAAATATTAGTGATCAAGCCGCAAGGAGCGCTTCTGATGGCGCCGTTTGCAAACAATGGTAAGTCTGTAATGTGGAATTTCTCTCCTTACCTTCTCTTACAAACTCTTTGTTGCAGAGTTTCCAGGTCTTGCAAGGATTATTTCTCATTGATGGAACTATTCTCCAGTTATAGCCCTGTCACATGACGGATGGCAGGGTCGCTCCTTCAAGGCGCTACTGTTTGGCTTGGAGTCCGAGGTAGGTGGTTTGACTCATGCAATGTGGGGCCACTTTGTTAGGGCGGTCGGTTTATCTGGGGGGGTTCCTATCTTTCAGGGCGACCCTCGAATATACAGTACTATGGTTGTATGGGCAGGGTCAGCACTTTTAGTCTCAAGGGGTTAACATTGCTTCATCCCCGTGACCCAGCAAAAGGACTTGCATGACACCGATGCGATCCCGAGGGGCCATGTTTCAAGTTTGGGCAAGTGAAGGTCTGGTGACAGTCTTGCTATGAAACAGTGTGGCCACCGCCCTTTTGTCTCTTTTTGGTGGATCCTTGTCGCCAGGTCTTGACTCTGCTCACCAGTTGAGATGACTACAACCAGACTTTGTGTCAGAATTCATCTAACATAGAGCCTGACAGGTTTCGAGAATTCCATCTTTTTGGGCCGTCTGGTGAGTTCCATGTTGGGTGAGAGGGTAATGAAGGCCACAGATTGAACTTGTTCTGGCCAGTGAACTCAGCTCGGAAGGATGGATGAAACTCTATGACTGGAATATACCGCCTACCAAGTGCAGGATTTTGTCCATCCATAGTATGACATACTGGGCCAGGATGTTTGCAAGAGCCCGATTGTGTTTCACGTGCCCGGACCTGCAGCCGGCACGCACCTGTTTAGTTGAGGGGCGAAAGCCGCGGTAGGTTGCTGTGTTTATGAGATGGACGAAGGTGTGTCTTTGTTGGGTCCAGACGTGTGCTAACTGTACCCTTGGGTAGCGGTTGCTAGCTCACTTTCACTCACTATATAATCTTTCGTGCATTTTGCGTGGATGTCAGGACTTCAACTTTTTGCCAACTGGGTTTTCCATTAAACCACTAAGTGTTAAAACTTTTGGCGGGAGCAGAAAGCAACCCAATGGCTACTGTCAGGCGCCGAAACCAACACCTCGACGAGCCTTGGGCCCATGATCCCGGTGGCACACCGGCGCCGGCGCCGGCATAGCAATCCCTTCCGGGGCTCGCCCATCGCGACTCAGCCCAAGGTGAACAGGGGGTGGCGTGATATGATGTATATCTGTATATCCCTTTTGAGGGAAACCACAATGAAAGCCACCAGTTGGGGGGCGTCCCTAAAAAACGAGACAACCAAGAGGGTGCCCCATTAGAGGGGCATTCAGAGGTTCAATGGAACTTTCCAAAGCCTTGGTTCGTTGGGTTCCCTTTAACATGGTCAACCCCAAAATATGTTTTCTGTTTAAAACCAGGACTGAGCAACTGGGATAAAGAGGACCCCAATTCCCTTGCTCAGAACAAGACGAATGCCTAATGCTAGCGGCATACATTTGAGTGAAAGTAGATGGCAGCATTACCCCGTGTTGGTTTCATCAGCCCCCCAAATGATAGAAAGATAAGAAGGAATTTCGGCAATCCACTTCCGCCCTCGTGTATTTCAAATATCCTTTCAAGACCACTTCTTTGAAACAGCATATCCCAAAAGAAGCGAAAAGTGTTCTTCTGGAAGGCATGCCACATTTGCCCCAAAAGGAGAGGCAACAGGACCGTGTACGCGAAGCCATTTGGGTTGGCTTTTGAACAAAAAACATGCCAGTCTTTCGGGCCGGTCTCTGAGTTTGGGACACAGCCAGGGGGAAGATTGATACAATTACGTGCCTGTCCAGTTTCCGAAGGTCAATATTGTTGTTTCCAGATGTGACGAGCTTTGGCCCTTTTGGGGTTCCTTCATTTCCCCTCAGTAAGCCAGCATTTTTCGGATCTATCTCTGGCCAAGGTTGTTTTGATTTTCCTGAAAATCAGCTCAGGTAAGCAAAGCAAGTCTGCCGTTCACAAATCTGGGCTGATTTCAACACCCCTGGTCTGCTTTTCGTCGGTTTAGGGTGCATGTTTGTGTTTGTTTGTTTGGTCTACTTTCCTTTTGTGCCAAAAGCGACCTAGTCATGGTAATCCAGAAGGCGCTCACGTTTCGTCACCCTTGGCCATGACGACTTTAAGTAAACCTGAGGTGTCCCCGCTCGGTTTTCACGTCGGATGCTGTTTTTCTTCAGGTGGCCTAAGTCTGGCGACGAGTTTTGGCAATGGCACCCGTCCATTTGAGGTGACCCCTGGGGCAGAGATCGACTGCTCGCAGACCTGTGCCTTGGTTTCCCAATTTGTTTTTTTGTGCAACCAAAGAGTCGAAGAAAACAAGGGAAAGAGCCCGTAAAGTTTCCCATCATCTTACCTCTACTTTTGGTAACTAGAAATCTGTTCCTCTCACTCTATTCCCAGTCCTTTCCTAGCTCGTGCTCTCGCTGTCAATGAAGTGACCAAAGGGAGATGAATGTGGAGGCTTCTGGATTCGTCGCTCTCACATAACTTTGGAACTCTAGCGACCCACCTCTCCAAATCCTTTCTACCCCGTTGGCTCCGGAAAGATCTCAAGGTTGGAAAAGAAGGCCGTAGCTAGAATGTCGGTAATAGATGATAGGATATGATTTCCATTGCCACCAATCTGTTCTCTTCTCTTAGGCATTACCGATCTGACCACTTCACAGTCAAACAATAAGTATTCTGAAGATTCCTTTCCTCACTGTATCTCTGGGACCTTCCCTGTCCAACACTCTAACTCTTGTACTCTTCAAAAGTGGCTTAGATTTCGCAGGTAACGACTGGCCGGTGAGAGAACCATTTCCTGTAGACCCATCTCCTTCGCCACCTCTTCCTCTCATCGCCTCTCACTGGCATTTTGTTTCTCTTTGAACACCGGTTTGCGCGAAACCCGGAACCCCCGGAGCACCAAACTACTTGGAGCCCGAGGGGCAGAGCTTGAGTACTGAAGTGGGGGGGGGAGCTAGGGCATTCAATTGAAACCAAAGACAACAAGAAAGGTACCCTCAGAATCACACATACGTCTGGGAGCAAATATATTCCTCGGCCTGGGGCTCTCAGACCTGACGTGTTTCAAAAGATGTAGCTGGGTATGTGTCAAACGCGGACCCCCCAAGAATGGCAGCTTTCCATTTGTTTTTTTTCAACCAAGCTTTAAAGCGGTGCCCCAAGCAAGTACGTAGGGAACCAGGGGAAACGAGGTGGTAACTTGCCAACGGAGGAGTTGCGTTTGCGCACCTCCATTTGTCGCAGTCCATGCCGCTCATTTGAGCTTTCAACAGTTGTGGTCTTTAGAGCAGCCCGGCAAGAAGTCTCGGAAGTCTGCGAATCCTCTGAATTTGAATGAGCCAAGCCCTGCATTCAAGCTGACTTCGCGGCTCATGCGCTATCTTAGGCGGCAATGTCTGGAGGGATTGCCCGGACTGGCCAATGCGGCTCTGCGTGTATGACGGGTACTGCCGCCTGGCAACCTGTTGCCGGAGCTTTGGGTCGACCAAATGTTGCACTTCCCGTTTTCCGGCCTTTCAACTGTTCGCTGATTCTTTGTTGCACAGACCCCACCTGGCGAGTTGTCTTTGTTTTGCTTTGATTGGGGTTCCCTTCAATTATGGACTTATTGAGTCCGGGACGTCAGGTCTCTTTTGGGACGCTGGGGGGTTGAATCATGTTTTTGCTTGCCGCCTTTCCCTCTACTCCCCTTGTTGGTGTCCACTTTGGTGGCAACCAGTGGGGTATTTCTCCTTTGATTTGTGTTTTTGGTCTCAAACTTCCACCTTGATGAAATAGCGGCACTCTTTTGCCCTTGGAGGAATGTATGGGAAGTTGTTATGTTTGGGTGATTTGTAGTTGAGATACAACATGGCTACGAAGCTGAAAGCAAGCATTGATCCACAGCTTGCATTGTGCTTGTTGGTTCCGTCACCGGGCAAGGCGAAGAGCGAGTCTGCTTGCACAAAATGCTCCTCGGCAACCAGACGCCCCGGTAGGTCTCGCTTGGCTCAGAGTCTGCAGTTCTTAACGGCACGCAAATCAAGATATGCAACAAAGCTAGTTGCCGACAGCCGGAGGCTCAGCTGCCCCGAAAATGTGTTGGTTTCTCGGAAAACTGCTCGATTGTGACAACCACCACTTTTTGCAGGCCACTTGCCGCAAAAAATCGGCAACGTCACAATTGAAGAAAAATAAGTGACCGCTTGACGCAGGATGCTGAACGATCCTCAAGTCAACGGGGTTTAGTCGCGCTTGGGGTTGGAGATCTGTTCAGCTGCCGGACTGAAGCTGCGAACACCCCCCTGGCAGCTCTTGACCAGGCCTTTTGTTGGAATGTCAACAGGTGTTTCCTATGGGTGTTTGTCTCGGAGTAGGATTTTGATCCTCCCCGCAAAAAGAAGAAGGATAAGTGGCTTTTTGTTGACTTTCCTTTAAACAGCCCAATGCTACCCTCAAAAAGATACTTACCCACGTTTTCCCTTTTAAAGGGAGGCTTCAAACATCACTTTATGTGCCTTTGGAAAGGCTGCCTTTGGGTGATGTTGGGCATGTTGGTAACCCTGACTGTAGGGGCCCTAAACGTTGACAACTCTCGGTGCCAGTGCCCTGGCTCAGAACTCCTTTTTGCAGGCAGTCTCGTGATGCACACACTTCCTTTCTTTCGGACAGCCTATCAAACTGCACTTCCATCTTTGTTGAGGAGAGGCTTAAGCTTCGGCCACTCGCCAGACACCAGGTGTTGTACTGGTTGTCCATTGATTTCGCCGCAACAATTGGCCGGTGGCCCCACCACCACCCACGGGGGGTCTCCAATAATTGTTGGAAAAGAGTCAAGTCACTTTTTCCGGCCAGAGTTGAACACGGAAAAATGGAAACGTGTTTGGAGAGAGCATGGGCCATATTCCCTGTGGGAACAGGCCCCTTGGAGCTGCAAGCAGGAAATAGCAGGCAAATTCTTTGGATGGACCCTAAATGTGAAACTGCCACTGTTCAGTCCCCCCCAGAAAAAATGAGAGTCAAGGGGGACATCACTAGTAGTTCTATACTGAGCTCGTTTTGTTTGCCCCATGTTATGCAGCAATAGAGCTGTCATCCTTTCATGGCGGTTGTATACCCGCGTAAGAATCTTGTGACCTCAACAAGAACGACGACAGAAGGTCCAACCCCTTCCAACGCAGATCCAGACTCCCATGAAGGGGCCGGATCGTCAGGTTATGGGAGCCCTAAGAGGGGTGCACGGGTCTTCCCCCACGACTCGGAGCTGAGGCTTTTCCCGATGCTGGGATCTGATGCCTCGCCTCTCGGATCGGATGGGAGCCAGTCTGGCGGGGGGGGACCCCACCCGTTTCATCCGTTTGCCTTGTTTGGGTTCCCTTGTAGCATCAGTCCAAGAAGAGGGCGGGTGTTCAGTGAAAAAACTCGGATGAATCAACCTAGCGACGGTTGCTTCCAGTGGTGAAGTTGTGTCCGGGACCTTCAGTGGTGCCCCTTTCAATTCTTTTCGGAGGGGGCTCTCCCTTATGATCAACCACCAAGCAAAGGGTGACCATTTTTTTACCACGGCCGGAGGTCTGAGAAGGGGTCTCTAGTTTTGATATTTCAGAACAAGTTGGAACCATCAATCTAGTGTGTTGTTCGTCCAACCCATGCCGGAGGTGGTGAGACACTCCGATGTGGTTCCGACTCCAAGGTGGGAGATGGATAAATTCCCTCGGAGCCTAAGATTTCTTTGCTGTTTGCATGTGCGGCCTTTCAACTTTGGCCATTTCCCACAAAGCGCGTGACTGGCAAACCGAAGACAAAGAGGCGAGCTAAAGATCAGGAACTTTGGCCTTTTTCGTTGTCATCTTTCCCACGGGGGCGCAAGCGGCATGGGGTTATTCGTGACCCTTTCTCCCTTGGAGACTCCAGACCCTTGGTGGTACTTCAATAGTATTAGTGATTAAGGAACTATTAGTGATTAATTACTGGTGACAATTAATGATCATTGGTGATTGTTAGAGTGATCATGGCTTTTGTGATTATTCGTGGCCCCCAATAGTCGCTTGGAAATAGTTGCTCAACTATTAGTAGCAATGGCCCCCCTTGCGAGTTGAATCCAAGCCAGCTTGCGAACTATTTTGTTGGCTCCCTCTTTTCAGATATCACTCTTCGTTTTTCTCTATGTGGCCCATGATGGAAGGGGATTCCTGGTGACCGTTGGTCCCCCTGAAGAGGGCCTGGCGTGAGGTGCCCAGGTTTTTCGTGCAGGATGCGCAACAATGAGAAAACAGCCTCAGATAGAAAATTGGCGTGTGGTGTATGGTTTCCTGTCAGGTTCCCTGGGACCAAACTTCTGAGGGAGTTTGGTTTGCACGAAGGGGGAGAGATCTGCCACGATCTGATGCGCTGCCCCATGCAAAGTCAGGAGCTTTGGATCTTGCGCTTCGGGAAGCAAGTTTTGTTCAGCGACGACAAGAAAACAGTTGTGAGGGAACTCCGTCGCACCATCCCCGCGACAGCATTAGCAACCATCCACAAAGGGGTTCAAACCTTTTTCAGATGCCCATGTCAACCACGAATGTTCCCTTTCAGCCCGAAAAATATGTGTGTGTGTGTGTGTGTGCCCAAGTGTCCATGGTCCTCCCCCCCTTTGACGAGTGCACACTTTGAACGCGCTGGCCGAGGTTTTTCTTCGTGATCTTCATCGTGTCCTTCCTTGCAGGTGGGTGAGCCCCAGAAACCAAAGGGGCAGTGAGCAGCGGTTGTCCTTGGTGGGTCTTGCGAGTCCATTTTTGAGACTGCCAGACAGATTTGGTTTGATCCCCCATTTTGAACACAGGTTCGGGTGGAACTGAGCGTGTGTTTTTCGGAGGGCCTTTTGACCCCGATTTCAAGGGACACCAAAAGGAAAGCCGAAGCCATTCTGGGGGTTGCAAATTCCATTTTGACAACCCAAATAGACGGCTTCCACAGGCTGCCGGGATAGCAGGGGATCCGAGGTAGGAAAGTCCTTGCCGGGTGCAATACCATGTTTTCTTGATCAATTATGTATATAGTATGTGTATAGTATACACATATACATGTATACATATATATATATACATGGTTTTGTCGAGTGAGGTAGCCCCTTCTTGGGGGCGACTTGTTTCTTTGAAGAGGTAGACCAAAGGAAACTCATGGAGTCCTGGATCAGACAGCAGGTCAGAGCCATGCCGGAGTTTGTTCCGAGGCTTCGGGGAGTAATGCTGATCACGCTTTTTGACAATGGAGCCATGCAGATCAAGCGGCCCGCAATTTTCGGTTTGGATTGGTTTGGGGATTTGAACGGGGCCCTGGTTTTCGTAGAGTCGTAGAGGGTAGAGAGACTTGAACCAACCACCGATTCGGCTGCAAACCAGCAGTCGGGATGAAATGGAGAGGCCCTTTCGGGGTTTGCTTGAAAAACCATGGTGCGACTCAACCAGCCAGACGCTCGTCATTTTCTGCATGTCACGCAGGGGTGCTCTTTCCCAACCTTTGCCCCGTGGCAGGTGGGTTTACCCATAGCTTCAAGGGTTTGGTTGGGGCTTCATGTGACATTGACTTGGGAAGACCAGCTGTTTGGACATTTTGCGGCCGCCCAAAAAAGTAATCGTTTTTGAGGAGGTGTCCATTTAAAAACCCAACCTCAAACTCTGTACAAATAAACCAATCCTCGTTGAGGGGGTGTGTGCTTTCCTCCAAAGTGATGAATCGCCACAAAAAGGGGGACACCAGCCCCTATGACTGCAATCAACCTGCAGTTTATTCATACGGGGTCAACATTGGGATGAATCCCATGGTTCCGAAGAATGTCAGGGGCCCCGGGCATTGGCGGGGGCGGCATCAACGTGCCGCTGCTGATGATGTTGAACCGGCGGGGCCCCCGGCTTCGACCGCATTGCCTTTGGCCCCAAGAGGCTTTGGAGGAAGCAAGAAAACCAAACCAAGGCA